TTTCAATACTACGTAGCTTTTAGTCACATGAATTCACTATAATTTACCAAAAATTCCAAACACGCCGATTACTGAGGTATTCCTGCGCACGCGACGTGTAATCACAATCATTTTAATATTAGACCCAAATATGTAGACTATGGAAATTGGTTCATAATGACTGCTATAGTTTTATCCGCGACTCTGTTTTAGTAATTTGAAACTTATATACTAGCATCTCTTTTTTTTTTCTTTTTTTTTGGGGCAAACACGCATGAGACACTGTTAAGTGATACCGCGAAATATTTCTTTTATAGACCCCTTTTTCTCCAGGGTCTCCAGATATTTATTTATTGAAACTATCACATGATATATCTACAGTATATGTAAAAAGTAAAAAAGTAAAAATAAAAAATATTTTTAATCATAGGTATAGGTAACATAATGTACACTTATGACTCGTCAATAAAGAAATACATATTAATGCTACATTTACTGCCAGTTCTTAAATCAAGGGCGTAGAACGGAAGAGGACTGGCAATAAACTCTCCGCCATTCTTTTTAATCGCTTTTTCTTTTACACAACGTTTGTAAGGAGCTGCAACCATTACCATGTTCCACATGACATATTAAGTAATTAATAATAATAACATAAATTAAAAACAAAGAGTTGTCCTCTATCAGCAGGAGGCATGGCGAAATAGGAGCACGCACTTACATTTTCGTGGGAACAACACGCAAACTATCTTTTCTAAAATACATGACCATTATGTTAAACAGCCAACCCCAACACAAGTGTCTCTGACTACTTACGGGGGTTGTCTCAACTCATGTATTTAATGCAAAATTTGCGATACAAATAAACATTTTTCATTTTCATAAATGTTACAAAAAATTTAAAAGTAAAAATACAATAAAAAATATTACACTTTCCATTTTTTTATTGAACAGCTCACTACTGATATCAAACTCTGAATGAGTAGTGTTCATTCTGTTGCATTCGCTAAGAATTATTACGTGAGATCCCTGAACTCCTGAGGTTGGAGAGGTCAACCTAAACGCTGTTAAATATGTCAAAATATTTTCAAAAAATAATTTGTTCTTGACACTAGATTTAAATTTGATTGGTGTTATACGCTTAAAATACGTCCTTATCGATTTAGTTTAACACGTAAATTTTTGGATTTTGAAATTATAAGCCTACATTTCTTATATCACCTATCTATATCAATAGATTTAATAATACGTATCGGGTTGTATATTTTTCCCGCCAAAACAACTGAATTGGCAATGGTTTTGTTTCTATGTTTGACATTTGACTTAAAGTTGATTTCTGTAAAATATTCTTAAAATTCGTTGTTATCGATTCAATTTAACACGCATAAATACTTTGGAGGTTCAAATATAAGCCTATATGTAGGGTAGAGCGGGGCTAGTTGAGCATAGGGGCAAGTTGGGCAATCGAAATATCTCGGAAACTATTCACCATACGCGGGACTATCAAATAGCGAAAAGAAGGAGTGGTAGGAGAGGTAATCATCGCACGATAGCTAGTGGCAGCTCGACGAGTGAGTGAAGTGTCACGGCGTTTTGTTTATTTTGTGACCAAAAAGTAAAAACATTGTTTATCGCAAGTTTTCGTCTGTCTTTGTCAAATGTTCTCTGTTTTCAATCAGGAGAGTGTTAATCTTTCAGAAGATTATTGTATTTTTGATTTGTAAATAGGTTTTGGGTCTAATTCTAGGCATTTATTTACAATCCTACTTTTCTTTTAAAATTCCGGGTTGGGGTAAGTTGAGCAACTATAGCTCAACTAACTCTACGACTTAAACAACTGATGAGTAATGAATCTTTTATTTTTTGTTTGGATGCGGACTTACAAGAGGAAGACTACAAGATGTTCTTACACTACTGAATACTTAAATAATGCTGCAAAGGCTGTCCAAGATGAGGGAAAATGTTTGAATACCGCCGCTAAAGAATTCGGTATTGGTTGACTTTTAAATAAATTAAATGAAGGTGATGATTTATGGGCTATACAACACCGAGGGAAGTATATCCTCTCTCACAAGAGAACTGTTGAAAAAATTCTTGCTGCAAATGGCATATTTCTCCAAAAGACGTCCGTCGCCTTGCCTAAGAGTGTGCTGAAATTCCACCAAGCTGAATTGCAAAAAAGATTTCCGGAAAAGAATGGTTGATGATGTTTTAAAAACAAAAAAATCGTAGCTATCCATACAGAAACCAAAACCCACCAGCCTTGGTAATCTTTTTTTAGAAATTATCGGAAGTAATGGATAGATATGGATGCTCATGTTTTGTTGATTCTAGTTTCGGTTAATTATACAAAGAAAATTTCTTTAAATTTTGTTGTTCTGTCAATAAAAGACTATAAATAAAAAGCTGACTGTCTAACACATATTTTATTTCATCTCAAGTTAACATAGAACCCATGGTTTGGCCTAGACATTCTTAGTGCTCAACTTGCCCCATACCCTTGCTCAACTTACATTGAGCATACTTGACTTTCTGCATTTAAACATCTGTAGCTATTATATTGGACTTGTTACAAAAAAATACTATGGACACTTTTGTTAAGGGATAAATTACTAATCCATCAGGACACATAACAACTCATTGAGACTTATCATTGAGGAGCTATATCCAAGCAAGTGAAAAATTGCTCAACTAGCCCCGCCCTACCCTATTATAGTGTCTATATCAACAGTGCGTTAAATTCAAAACAACTGAATTGGCGATGGTTTTTTGTTTTTCTGTAAAACAAACGCTATCCGTTCTGCGCCTGCTTTCACGATACTCTTATACGATACACGAAGGGCTTTGTAGGGAATCCTGAAAAACCTTATGATAATTATTTATTATATAATTTATATAATTATTTATATTTGCAATTCAACACAGACGATGTGATCCGTCAAACGTAGCACCGAATTAAATTCTTTTTATAAAGCCATAGATATGATGTCATTAAAAATACAGTTAATAACGGGCCGCCATAACAAATCGGGCGGTGAAACAAAACGATTCTAAATTCAAAAAAAGGTGTAATTTTTCACACATTTGACAGTTAGGATAATTTTTAATTGACAAAGGTATTCGGGGCCACCGTGACGAAGCGAAATGGGATATTAATGTTGTGCTAATTAAAAAATAATAATAAGAGCACTGTCGACCTAGTGGCTTCAGCTTGCGACTCTCATCCCTGAGGTCCTAGGTTCGATCCCCGGCTCTGCACCAATGGACTTTTTATGTGCGCATTTAACATTCAGTCGAACAGTGAAGCAAAACATCGTGAGTAAGCGGTCTTGTCTTAGACCCAAAGAGTCGACGGCGAGTGTCAGGCACAGGAAACTGATCACCTACTTGCCTATGATAGATCATGAAACAGATACAGAAATCTGAGGCCCAGGCCTAAAAAGGATGTAGCACCACTAATTTATTTATTTTTAAATAACATTTAAACTTATCTGATTTTCCCATTTTAGTTCCTAACTCTTGACATCAATGTATTCTATAAAAAAAACTCGCGTTCACTTCTCTCTCACCTTAGACTCAAAAATCAGCCACGTGTCAGATGCAAAAGAAAGCCTATAAAATATGCACAAACAAACTTTATTAAAATATTAATAAAATATTGTATTTTAAGTCTCCGTTTATTTGTAATCAAATATACAGTATTTACAATTTTCTTAACCTACATAGGTACTAATAAAATAATTAAAAAGAAAATTGAAACAAACTTAAAAAGTTTGGTTCCCGTGGCAGTGTACCTTTAACACTGGCAGCATTTCCTCGCTGTATTACGATACTTATTCGTTGAGTGAGGAAAGCACCAGCTCTGGGTTCCCCGGTACTAACCAGGCGTCAACTTAAATCTAATCTTTTATATAAAGTAGTTTTAATTAAAAGAACTTTATTAATGAAATTAGTCACTCAAGTACTCTTACATATCTAAGAATTTCTCTTCTCAACGAAGAGAGACAGAAGAGATTTTTATGAATAGGTTTACCCTAAAAGTTCTTTGCTAAGTGTAAGGAAAAGCGAAATATTAAATACTTGTGAATGTTCTTACACAAATTGTTAAATGTTCAAATATCTGTATTAAAATGGTCGTCCCTTATTGTCAAAGTTCATAATCAGCAGAATCTTCCAAATTCCGCCTGCAAAACCAACCTAGGAGTTCAAATACCTCTTCTAACTCTTCGCGAATACAACCGAATGAACATTACTTATCCAAAGCTTGATATTTTCGGTAGTGGGCTGATCAATTTAAAAGCATTGTTAAGTGCCTATCAGATACCTAATCCGCGTAAGGTAATTTCTTGTTTATTGTTAAGTAAAATCTATAATTGTATGTGTTTTTGCGTATGTTTGTTTTTGTAACATTAATGTTTACCATGATTGTCTTGTTTTTTTAGAAAATATAGCTTGTAACATTTACTGTAAATATAGCATATATGTGGTGAACTTTAATAAATAAATATGGGAAATGTGTATATTAATGAACTCCAATCTAATTAAAATAAATTCTATTGTTTATTTCTTGTATATTAATGGGTATTTATTTCGAACAAACATAAAATAAGTTAATTATAAGTATTATTGATCCATAGGAACAACTATTATTTCTATAGAGTATAACTACGTCAATATAGAATCTGGCTTTCCATTAAAATATTAATCGGTCCTAAACAAATATTATAAGAAATGGTAAAAAATTACGATTAATCCTTTTTCACCAGCTACAATAGACGAAATCGATACACAAAATGCAACAATTGTATTCCACACAATCAATATTGCAACAAATCGAACGGAAATAGGCTCACAATTGCACACACCATTCAAACCATTGTAACCAAACAGGTGCACCGAAAATCCCACGAAACCTTCAAAAAATCAATAGACAAACGAATCAACGATAACAAAACGTCACGTCAAATGCTCACTTAACCCTACAATAACCATAAAGAATTACAATTAAACACGGCCAAAAAACGTCATAATATTGTCCGCAACAGTCGCGCAGAGGGCAGCGGGAGCCAATGGGGAGGCGCCCTGCTCCCAAATGCCTCTTGTGGGCCAATGGCACTCCCCGGGGCGGAGCCTCGAGCTTTCGCCCCCAGCGAAAACCTTTTCGCCTCCAGTCGTTTACAGATAAGCCTGCGGGATGGACGATTATTATTACATTTTGTACGCGTGATTCTGCGCCTGAGGCAGACCGATCGATGCGATGTGCTATGGTGTTGAGTCATTGTGATAAACTCTGTGTGCTGTGATATGTTTGCCTTATACTAGATATAGGCATGAATCTTTATATGCAGTGTCATCGTGAGGTATGCATTCTGTTTATAAGGAGCTGGTTCTATTTGCATGTGTTGCCATCTATGGGTTTCGAGTCGTACATTTAGAATATGACAATTTTAAAAAACGAAGTCTCTTAATTTCTTACGGGTTCTAAGTGTATTGAAAATAGTGTTCTGTGCTGTGTCTTTTATTTTTTTAGGAAATGTACAAAATGATTATATTAGCGTATCCAAATAAGGGAAAAGGCCGTTATGTACAGTAGGTCTTCTTTAAAGTGTTGTAATCTAAATATTATGTATAGGCTTAGAGTTGTGGAATTGGAATATGACAATTTTAAAGATTATCTCTTAAAGATTTTAAACGAGTTCTAAATGTATTGAAAATAGTGTTCTGTGCTGTGTTCTTTTATTTATTATGGGGGAGTCGATGTATAAAATTATTATATTAGCGTATCCAAATGAGGAGAAATATCCAACAAATAATTAGATTAAGAAATACTTAAACGGATATTTAAAGCGGTTACCGCTTGTTAAAGCGGTAACTTACAAATAGACAAACAAATATCTTGCGCTTAGACATGGAAGAACGGGTTGCTTGGGACACAGGTAAAAAGCTAAGTCCTAGGTTCAATTAATAATTAAAAGAAGACGCCTTTTCGAAGTGACAAGAACAATGTTTTTAAATACGATAATGTTCGACCGTCGACTATTTCTTCTCCTAAATATTCGCCTAAGTTTCATTTCTGAATATTAACTTTAGTCTAAGAATGAAATTTGTGTTATTTGTTAATATATTATGATAAAAGGCTGGGAAGACAGTCTATTTACCTATGAGGGACACACTTATGAAAATTTATTAACGTTTATTATTAATTTTATTTTAAATAAATTAAAATAAACTCAATATTAATATAAACATTATAAACGATATTTTTAAATAAAAAAATACAGCTAATAATGAAAATTAGGTTCAAAAAAGAAAAATTCTGGAGCTGTTTTTATAATTGAATTATTTTATATCCACAGGTGGAAAAATACCACGGCTTATTAGCCGCTGAGATTTCTCAAATTATATTAGTGCTTTCAAAGTAAAAACATTTCTTATTGCACACACGTATACCTAGGCACATAATTTTATTATACATAAGTAATGTTAGATAGAAAGTTACGATTAAAGATTAAAAAATTTCACTAAATATTTACTCAGTGCAGTGTTGGCCTTAGTGCAGGTCGTAGGTTCGATCCCCGGCTGTGCACCAATGGACTATTTTCCTATGTGCGCATTTAACATTCGCTCGAACGGTGAAGGAAAACATCGTGAGGAAACCGGCCTGCCTTACACCCAACAGTCGACGGCGTGTGTCAGGGACAGAAGGCTGATCACCTACTTGCCTATTAGATTGAAAAATGATCATGAAACAGATTCAGAAATCTTAGAAACATTTAGAAATCAGAACAATTAGAAAAACCAACCACAAAAAAGCTAAAAGGTAGGAAAATACATACAAATAATTATAATTACAATAAAAATGTAATTTATTAACTTTAACGTCCGCTTCAGTAATAATTAAAATTATAATATTGAAATTATAAAGAACTAACCAGTCCGCAAGGCTGGACATAATATTTCGGTAAATTTACGCGTTCTATCGGCTTACTAATTTGAGTCTGTTGAAATGATCTTAATAATCTAATAGGTGGACTGAAAAGTTCGTAGACTGACCCATAGATACTATCAAATTAATATTATGATTTTTATTTAGCCCTAACCTTTAAAAGACACAGGTATAAAATTTAGTTTGTGAGTGATAGTATTTTGAGTGAAGGAACTTTTGTTTGTTTATTAAAGGAACTTCGTGTGTTAATAAAGCTTAGCTTTTTGGCGAACTTACATGTGTCAGAGTTACCTTTAGACATACTGTTTTCCTTGCGTTAGCATTACCGAAGGAAGTTGCACACATAGAGAATCCAGTGGTCACCGGTCGGGGCCTGACCGACCTGAGTGCTGAGGTGACTCTAAGATTCAGCAAGTAAACTTATTGTATTTAATACATTAAAAGCGTTTTATTATTATTATTATCGAACAGGGGGCGAACGGGCAGGAGGCTCATCTGATGTTAAATGATGCCGCCCATAAACACTCTCAATGCCAGAGGTCTCAAGTGCGTAGTCGGTCTTTTAAGAATTGGTACGCTCTTTTCTTGAAGGACTACTTCAGTGGGCAGCTGGTTAGACATAGGTGGTGCGCGGAAAAAACAGCCTTAAAAAACGTCGGTGATGCGGGTGGAATTTCGTATAATCGACGTCCGAACGTCGATCTCGAAACTCAACTGCTGGTATTAATCCGATTAACTCCTCTGAACACTCTTCATGGTAAATGCGGTAGAAGATGCAGAGTGATCCCACATCTCTACGCAACGCCAAGGGATAATGCTCGGAGAGGGATTGATCATCGACGATTGAAACCGCTCTTCGTTGAATACGGTCAAGTGGTATCATAGTCAAACGTAAGATTCACAGATTAATAAATTTTAAACACGTGAATAGATAACCTCTCTGCCCGTTAATACTATTATTTTCACCAACAAACCGAGCGTTTAAACTCCGACAACCTGTAATTATACACAGAGCAGACAAAAACTTGCTATGGCTAATTGTGGAGCAAATTATAGGGACACCCTTCGAAACAAATAGGCCCGAGTTGGCCCTTAGAAATAAAGGCTTAGTAGTAAGGGACGGATTGTTTATTAAGAAAAAGCTTTCAAATAAATAAATCAGTGACGCTACAACATTTTAGGGCTGCCTTGCGATTTTGTAACTCACTTTTCGAACTCTCACTGCGGTTTTCGAAGCGGCGGCGGTCGCGCTCAAATCAGTCGTGAAGCAGTCATTTTACGATTGGCATTCTGATAAACAATAAACTACAAGCTCCCTCCTTATCAGAATGCCAAATCGTAAAATGACTGATTTGAGCGCGACCGCCGCTGCGAAAACCGCAGTGAGAGTTCGAAAAGTGAGTTACAGAATCACAAGGCTGGTCTCAGATTTCTGTATCTGTTTCACGATCATTTGTCAATCTAATAGGTTCCTATTAGGACGTTGATCAATCTAATAGGATAGGATTCTGTGCTTGACTTTTTGAGATTTTCCTTCACTGTTTGAGCGAATGTTAAATGCGCATAGACAGAAAGTCCATTGGTGCACTGCCGGGGATCGAACCTACGACCTCAGGGATGAGAGTCGCAGTACAGAACTCATCAGCCACCGCTTTCAGGCCGGCCTTTAAGGTTGGAGGATGAGAACAACTTCCTTCCTCCACGAGTAACTCGGGGTCACCGTATCACTTCGGCTCTGATAGTAGATAGTATCAAGTGAATGTCCAAATATCAAAGAAATCTTTTTTGTTCATATCAACCAAAGGCATGCTCTGATCTCGTCAATAAGAATAGATAAATGATATTTTGTATGCTAATGATAATGGACGTGCAATCGTTATTTAAATTACTATAAAGTGATCTATCATTATTAATTCAAATGCGATAAATTATCTTTAAAACATGTTTTTATGCTTATAATTTACTAAATTAATGCTAATTTTGCTATTTAACTCTGCTTAAGTAATGTCGGTGGTACTTTTTAACCCCAGGTGGTGTAAATTGATTCTTCATTGTGCGTAAAAAAGATAGGTGACGTCAACTAATACCAAAATTGACAATTGTCAAGCACAGATTATATAAACTAAACATATGCAAATTAGCCTGTCTTAGGGGCTTAGTCAAGATGCCTTAATAGTGTAGTGTATGTAGAAAGTCGAAAACTAAATTTGTATGAAAATGACAGTTCGTGTCGAAAAATTTTGGTGTTACATAAAAACATAGTTTATACTTTTAATGCATTTTTTTTATTTGGAAACTATTTTAAGTAAAATATACTTGTGGGGTTCCCGGCTCTTTCATATACGCAACCAAGTGAACTTAATATATTATTTGCGTTTCGGTAAGGTATGTTAACAGTACTTGTAACATATGTTTAAGAGACTTCATAAATTATAGTCATAAAAAAATGAATAACATATAACATTTTGATTAATATTATTTTTATTATAAAAATATGAAATATTGCTTCGATGAATTATTGTATTTCTTTACCGAGGCCGCTTTACTGTAACTATTTAAATTGAACGTTAATGAGTTCCGAACATTTTCAATTTATTGTGAACGATTAAAATATATAAAAAGAGCAATTTGACATTGCCATAAAGGAAATTAAAAAATAATGAAAAGGATTAAAACGCGGTTCCATTAAGGCCCTGTCATCGCTGATAGGATTTAAATTAGGCGCACAATAAGCTTGCTGTCAAATTCGCCATTAATTTCGAATTTCGAATTTGAAACGGGAGCGATGTTGCCATTGCAGAATTCTATGCTTCGGTCGTGACAAATCAATTAAGTGCGGATTCTTTGTTGGCGTGTTTTGACAGGAATTAAATAATTTTGTTCGAGACCACGCAGTTTCCAGTTTTCGCGATTTTTGAATTAGACTTCCCAACATGGTATTCTTCTTATCATAATAATTCTACTGTATTTTCAAGTAGGTACATTAATTGTGTTCTTGAATTATATGTTATAGTTTTTTGCTGTATAAATTTTAGTAGTGACATCAGGTGACAAATCATCTTATACATATAAAGTTCCTTTTTACTAATCGCTTAAGATTCAAGTTACATATTTATTATTAAGAATTGGACAAATTAAATGTCATATGCCCCGCCCACCGCAAGATCTGGATTTTTATAATTAAAATACAATTTAGAAGTTTTTAATCTTTACCGGGCATTATATATGTTATGCAACATTGTTCTACAATTTAAAATTAAATGATAAATGTTTCATAAAGATAAAGCATGTACTTAGGTTTGGGTACAGTAAAAAAATACTTTTTTAACTTCG